CCAAAGACGAAGCTTCAGGGAAAGAATAAATGAGTCTTTGCAGAAGACCTGGAGGAACGAGGAGAGGGTGGGCCCAGAATTTGGCTCCAGAGTGGAGGCGGGGAGGTGCTCTGCAGCCTAGCGCCCTTCTGAAGGCAGGTGTGCCCTTGCTGCAGCACTTCAGAGCATCGGTCAAAGCAAGTATGCAAACTTGACAGGCGATGGATCATTCAAGAGAAGGCTGGACAGCTTGCTGCCAGCCCCTTGAAATGCCAGGGTAACCTGGGGGCTGATGCTTTAGATAAGCCCTTATTCCTTTGTGGGGATTTCTGCAGGACAAACATCTTCACCGGCCTCGTGACCAGCGTTTCAGGTCAAGCATTGTGAGGGCCCCAGTCTCCAACCCCGGGCAGCTGACTGTCGCCTCTGGGCAGCCAGTCTAAGAGCTCAGCACATCCTAAGTGCAGTTTCAAGGCACTGCAGAGACACGTTCTGGCTCAGCCAGAATAGAAAGCAATTCTTGAAAGTGCTCTTTGTTTCCCTGAAAAATCCAGGCTGGCATTCAGACTCCTGCTTGGGGTTTCAGTCAAAAACGTTAGGACCAAAGTGTCAGAATTCAGAGCGAAAGCTGGAAAGTTGGACTATTTCCTTGTGTCAGAGAAAGCATTGGGTAAGAAAAAAAATACACCCCCCTTAAAAACTTCATGTACGTTTGCAAACCCACAAGTCATTAAACACAGAAAAAGCCATTAGTTCTGTAGGACCCACAAAAATGTCGTGCTCTCCCCCTGCTGACTCTGCAGTTTGCCGAAAACCTTATTCCCAACCCAGCACTGTCGTGACTGGTAACGCTGGGGCAGAGGCCTGCTAAAAGGCAGTGGATTATTGTTAGAAAAAACCAAACCATGTTAATTTCAGCCCCACAAAAGCACAGTATTTGCAGAACCAGAGAGATCAAGCCCAGCGAAGAGCCACTTTCTTTCAGTCCCCGAGGAAGCCAATTCAAACTGGAGCAAAAGGAAAAGCTAAAACTTTTAGCAGCCTCTGAACGACCCCAATTTTTTAAAAATCAATTCCTGAAGCAACACCTCTATGTGTGTGTTCCTTTTTATTATTATTTTGGTTGAAACCAGAAAGCTGAGGGTCAGCAGCAAGAACCGCATCGCTGAGAAACCGTGTTTATTTTACCCAACCCAGGCAGGTTGGGATGTAAGGCCCGTTAAGGTTTTATAGCCTGCCTGGATTTCCCATCCTGCGGATACAGAACCTGAAGCCCACCAGAAGGCGGACTGGAAGCAGCGTTTTATGCACCAAATGAATGCTTCACTTGCCGCTGGAGGGACAAAAAGAGCTGCTGTTCCAGCACAGGGCAGGCCATGCACGGGGCCAGCACCTCCTCTGTCGCTGTCTGCGTGCCCATAAGCGATGCTGCTCAGAGCAGCCGACCAGAACAGCTCCCACCTGTACTGGGCAGACTGGAGGGGGAGGCTGGAGGAGGTGCCAAGCAGTTTCTCTGCTGCAGCCAAATTAACTACGTTCCCAGGCTCTGCAGAGGGCTTAGGGGGATGTCAAGCAGCATCAGCACTGACCTGTGAACAAAGCGCATTCTTGTGGATCTTCTTGTAAATAAGAGCCGGGCAGATAAAACAAATGAGGCTTCCCATCGTAGCACCTGTCAGGCCCAGGACTGTTTCCACTGGCAAAGAAGAAAGAAAAGTCAAAATCCCCTTCCAGGACAGCCAGAGCAGCAGCACATGGCGGCTGTCTGAGGCCCCCGGGCAGGCTGGGGTGCAAGCCCAGCGGGCCTGGCCATCCCACCCAGAAAAGCAAATAAAAGAAACCAGAGAAAGTAGCCAAGCAAGCAGCCCTTGCCCCCAACTCCTCGCTCACCATTCGGGATCATGATGCCTCCTACCATGGTTCCAAACACAACAGCCAGCGTCAGGGCTTTGAACCGAAGCGGGGGCATATAACCCCCAGCAGCGAAGGTGCCGTCTTTTTGCTGGAAGAGAAAGGGTGGGAGGGGGAGAATGAGTTTAGCCCCCACGTCACTCCCACACAGTTCCTAAGCAATTACCCCAGCGGGCTCCAGCAGCTCCGTCACCTCCACGCTATGGTCTCCTCAGAGGTTGAATGCTGGGGTGGAGGGGGCAGTTAGACATGGTTGAGCAGTTTTAATATGCAACTGCATTTGAACCTTCAAAGCAAGAGTGACGGGGGGGCACGGAGCCAAAGCTGCTGTTTCCATCCTGCCCCAAATGTGAACCGTACAGCTGCATCCCAGCCCCTGCGCCAGTGCTGCAGCCACCCAGCCTCAGCGAGTGGCCCCAAGGCCAAGGGCATGAGAAAGAGGCACAGCTGAGAAGGCAGGAGGGAGAACGGTCGCGGGGGGAAGAGCTCTGGTTTTGCTACGGCAAGGTGTCCCCTAACACCTCCGGGAGCAGGGCTATTTCCACTGCGTTACAACCCGTGTACCAGCTCCTCCGACTTGATGGAAAACACCCTGGCTGGATGGCAGAGAGGATGATTGGTGCTGCTGGGGAGCTGCTGACACTGGAGGGTTTCCAGACGCCCTCCGTTTCCCATCCCATCCCCACCCTCCAAGCAGGAGGTGCGGAAAGCAGAGGACCCAGCAAACCCGCGTGCCCTGGAGAACCAGCGGGTCCCCACTCTCCTGGCCGCACAGATGGGAGAGGAAAGCAAAGTGACAGGTTCAGAGCCCAAAGAGCAATGAGCAGAGCCCAGGCGAGAACCAAGTCCTTCCCAAACGTTTCCAGCGCCTACTCCTCTGCATCTGCTGGCTTTCACCGATTGTCTTCCCCCATCCTCAGGCCCTCCCGACGTGAGAAAAAAGCTGGGGGCTTCTCACAGGCAGAAGTGGCAGGATTTAGAGCTATAAATTGCTCAAGTTTTATTTCCTGCCCTAAGAGGTTTCTATTTATGCAGATACACAAAGGCTTCAGAACATTCCCACAATCTCTTACTGTTATTTACTGAATACCATCGGCATGCTTAGTGCCGTACAATACACAGAGGAGAACACGCTACTGCCACAAGGGACTTACAGTCTAAATCAGACAGACCAACTATAGTCACAAAGGCTGTCTGAAGATCTGACCCTGGGAAAGGTGAACGTGTGGGAGAGGGCTGTACTCCACCGCATGCTTCTGCACCAGATCGGCACCAAGCAGCCAGGGGAGGTACTGGAGGAAGGGGACTTCTGAACCCGGAGGGGAAAAGCTGCTCAGGGGGCTAGTGACGAAGGTGCAAGGATGAGATTAATAACAAAAGAGTAGAAATGAGCAGGCACACACAGAAGCAAGAAGAAATGACGCTGGGCTGGGCTCTGAAGCCAGGAAGAGAAGCTCGAGCTAAATGCAAAGCAAGATCGAGTTGGCCAGCAAAAGGATGCCAGCTGGAGCAGCAGGAAATAAGGAGGCTCCTCTGTTTCCAAAAGCACATTTCTCCCTCTTTCTGAGGGGGGGGAACCACCTCGGCTCTGAACTGTGTAACACTTCTGCACGAGAGCCGAAATCCCCAGTGGAGCAGGGAAATAGCAGCCACGGGGCTTGGGGCGCAGCAGAGCAATAGCAGGCTTCGGGCTCGCGACTCCAGCACTTCTGCCCACGAAATTGCTCTGCAGAGAGGACAAGAACCTCAGAGTACCAGAGATTAACCATTCTGCAGAGCAAGATTTACAGACTGCCACGGGCCTCCTGCTGCACTGTTACCACACACTATGCACTTACGATTTCACTGTCAGTTGAGGGTTTGTCCCTCTGGACAGCGAGTACCCACCACGAGTCAGAAATATGCAGTTGTCAACGGAGTCTCACAGAGCCAAGGCACGTTTGCAGCCCAGGTCAGCAGCCAGCAGCAGAAGCCAGAGAGTCACAGTAGCCCTTCAAAAAGCAAGTTTTAAAGGTGCACACCAAGGCAGGCAACTGCTCCTGGCCACACAAGAGGCTCTTACCTGCTGCTCAAAGAGAAGGGTGTTCAGCGCCTGTCTGCACGGGAGAATCATCATCGGAAACCCCACAGCTACCGACATCATGAATCCCACTCGGATCATCTCCGTCACAAGGTTGGAAGGGAAGTTCATTAGGACGTTCCCAGCAATGGCTTCGGTGTAACTCACGTAGCCAAAGAAGCCCACCTGTCCGGCAGGAGGGGAGGTGAGCGGATGGGGTTTGACTCCAAAGCGCACATATCTGCTCTTTACAAAAGGCTGGCGGCCAGCGACCTCCTGCGGGTTAGGACCAGCCAGCCAAGGAGGGAGCACGGGGCCACCTCCATGGGCTACCTGCCAGCAGCCCCAGCTGCAGCACCCCCAAAAGTTGAGACAGGCGGTTAACGAATAGTGGGACCTTCCTAAAAGCAGAGGCAAGTTTCTCACTAAATACAGGGGGCTTTCATGGAGGACGGTGCAGCGAGGGAATGCTGCCACGGCCCGTGACACAGAGCGGTGATGCCCTGCTTCCTGCCAGGCCCACGGACCGGCCCCCTCCGATGAAAGAGGGGCCGTAACGATTCCCCGCAGCAGCCTAGCTCACAGGAATTATTAACTCGGTTTTATTAACCGGTGCTTTATGAGGCATAACTTCTTTCACATCTTTCCAATTGCAACAGGCTGAAAGAAGCTTTCCTAAACTCGGGGAGGGCATCTCCAGCTCCAGGCTGGGCCCTGGGAGGCAGACAGCAGGCTGATGCACATGGAAGAGCTGGGTCTCCACTCTGCCTCTGCCCAAGGAAATGTGCCACTGAAAATTTTGGACTCTCCAAATGCCTCCTGCACTGTTTGGTTCATCATCTCCCATCTAATTTTGCTTTCAGCAAAATGGCTTATCTTTCAGAATAAACGCAGATAAGCAGAAACCAGCCCCAACTGAAAATAAATCATCATCCCTGTTGCCCCTCCAGAGCGTGAACTTCTGGCAAGGAAATAGAAGGGGAAGTTTCTTACCGTAATGTAAAAGGTGGTGACCACGTTTAGGGAAGAAGCAAATATGGAGCTCATGATTTTAACAGACGGCTCATCCAAGCTATCATAGGTAGGCAAGACCTGACTGTAGAAAAGAGTAAATTATTTAAGGAAACCTTCTGCAAAGAAGGAAAACCCCAACTCCAGCATGTTCCCTGCCTCAGCCCAGCAGCAAAGAATCCCTGACACCTTCCCCCTACGGAGCATAAACACTCACTGCTATTCCAGAATTTATATTGCTAATGCCAAGAGATTTCAGAACACTCATAACTTTAAGTGTTGCAAAAATATTCCTGCTCTCCCCACCCCACCACGTGGAGCTAAACGTGTGATGTAAACATTTTGGTTCAAAAGTGTTGCAAAATGAATGACCGTTTGTTCCAGTGAAACACCAGTGGCACCAGGCCAGGCAGCGCATTGGAGATTATTGTTCTTGGAGCTCTCTATGCTGATAATTAAAGCGACGCAGTGTTTACAGAGTAAAAGCAGGAAGAAGGTTAGAGCATCGCACTGTCTAAAAGAAAAGTTAAACAAACAAAACTAAATGCAGTGCCTGTCATATTTCAGCGCTGCTGCTAGACCTCAGTTCATAGAAAGCTGGGAGCGCCAATTACACGGGATTTGGGGCATTTATAGACCTGGAAAGCATGTGGAATGTACTTTTTGACATCAGGTGCATATTTTAGCAACTCATTAACCTCTTGTTACTTTAATTCAAGTGGCTACATCCTGGCTTCATGTTACTGAAGTAACTCTCACGAGAAGGAGGGGGAGCATCCAGTTAGATGGGAAGGGGGTATCCCCAGTTCCAGTGGGCACGAAGCCATTAACAGAAAGTGTGTCAAGCTGAGGCCAAGCAGAAAAATCCTTAACCCTTAATCCCTTAACATCAAATGGTTCCGCACAAAGGAAGCTGAGCATGTCTGCTCTCAAGAACCCGCGAAACGCATGGGGTCTGTGAACGCAGCACCGTGACAGCCATTTACTGTAGGCAGGGAGCGAGGAGACCGGCTTCCCCAGGAGTCTCTCCATTTCGGATTCCTCCCTGCCCTCAACGCAGCAACCTCCGCTAGATTAGCCAACTACGTCCCGGACTTCAGCCCCACGAGGGGAAGGGGGCCAGCCAAACATCCAGGCCCAGGAAGGAGAAGAAAGGATGGAAGCAGAGAGGCTCTGCAGCACGTGGGGTGGCACAGCCAGGCCAGGTTCGTGTTAGCACAGGAGCAACAGCAGTGACACGGGGAAAAGCGCCATGCCAAGTCCAGCTGCGCCCAGGCCTCCTGCGATCACCTAACGGCACCCGCTTGGCCAGCTTGGGTTTGGAGGACCAGCGCGGTGTCCCTCAAGCCCCCACGACACGCGGCTGGCCCCTCCTGACCACCTCCACCTCTCAAGGCAGAGCAAGAGGATGAGAAGCACACAAGAGGCAGCATGTCCCGACACGGCCGGGGTTTATTTTTAAGCAAAATGACTGCACTGAAGGCCAGTGAAGGATCAGGGATCCTTCCCCGTGTTATCTGTTACACCGCACCTCAAAGAGGGCACAAGCAGATGGTTCCTCCTGAGCAGAGAGCAGGCGAGTCAGCACAAGCATCAAGAGCAGCCTCGGAGAAAGCAGCCTTGCTTCAGAGATGGCCAGAGCTACCTCAGAGTATCTGTTCTTCACCTTCACTGTAGGGACCACCTCGTACAGGCTCTCCGAGCACAGTACTAACTCAGCCTGCAGGGAACTGATGCTCACAGAGGCAATGAACATCATCCTGGCTGTTATTATCCCTGTGAATTCATCATTTTTGCATCCATCTGCACCAGAAGAGCCATCTCCAGAAATGAGAAGTTTTCTTCTGGAAAGCTCTACTGACTCCTCTTTAATTAGAGGGTTCAGTGACTTGACCAAGGCCACGCAAGGAGGCTGCAGCAGAGGTAACCCTGGAGTCCTCGCGCTCCCAGCTCTCAGCTCTGCAGCAAATTTCCACGCTACACAACTGTAGAGGAGTGACCTACTTTGCAACTTCAGCAACAACAGGATAGCTTTTAAAGAGCGAAGGGTATTGAACTCACGAGTAAAGCAGGGTCAAGTTTTTCAAGCTAGAATAATAGTGCATTTATTTGTCCTTACTGTATGCTGCATTTACGTGCTGAAGGAAAAGGGTCTCTGCTTTATGTTAGAATTATTTATTTTTTAAAAAGGTGATTCAGAGGTTAGCAAGATTACACCTACCTAACTGAGAATAACATGCTTATAAAGATTGCCTGGGCTGGGGACAGCGGACTGCCCTGATGCTTGGAAAAAATGCGTAGCTTTAGGTTTGGCTTGCCACGTAAGTGCTGTAATGGAGCCTATATTTAGGTACATGCACACTGGTCCAGACCAAACGATTTTCCTGTATTTCCAACTCCCAGAAAAATCGCGCTGGGTACTGTGCGGCTACCGTAAGAAAAAAAAAAAAATGGAATTTAAGAACTCTGAAATGTTAACAAGGTAAAGCCGTAAAAGACTACAACTCCTTTTGCCAGTTGTAATGGAGACGTTAAACAGCAAGACTGGAGCGTGTTCGGGTGGGAACCGAGCTGCCAAGAGAGCCGGTAAGTGGAAAATGACAATTTGGATCTTGCATGTGGGTGTAAACACAGCAGTCTGAACAAATTTTATCTGTCACATTCATTTACTGTTGGCATGCTACCCATTTGCTGGAACTACAGGGGGGAAAGCCCAATTCTGCCAGCCTTTGAAATGAGGATGGTCTTTTCCATGTCCACATTTGGATTTACGCTTCTATTTAAAGTCTGTTACTATTCTGGCCAGGCACGTATTGCTCACTTGCCATTTTGGTGCAGAAGGTAATGCTGCTAGAAACGTGAAGATAGCCTGGTCTGCCATCATGTCCTTCCACGTGCCAACGGAAACCCTCATTAAAAGCAGGCGACTGGAAACGCGCGAACAACTCTCCAAAGTCGACGACTGTGCAACGATCCGAGTATTCTCAAAGAAATTTGGGGAAGCAAAGAGCAGCCACGAGTGTACGCTACCCTGCAGGGGGCCCTGCGGCCATCAGGTGACACAGCCCCGCTGCCTTTCCTGGTGCTAAATCATTCCCTTCGAGAAACGGGGGGAAATTCATCACTGCTGCAGCTGTACCAGAAGCAACGTGCATTACGCTGAGGACCTGTTTGGCCCAAATGGTCTTGTGTTGCTCAAATACAATAAGTCTCAAGTGAAAAAGAACTCCCTCCCCCATCTAGGTAGCAAAAGGGTCACAACTGGATGAGATGCTGCACCTCAGCAGGCTGTAAAATATTGTGATGAAAATAAAATAGGAAACCAGATGGTATCTATCCCTTGCAGATCCTCATGACCCTCTGCCCTCACAAAAACTCATTGCGCACCACAACTGCCAGAAGTGGGAATGGCAGGTACTTACGACTGACAGGCAAAAGACATGCCAAAGATGGGGATGCAGCGAAAAATGCCCTCCCAACGAGTGTAACTAACTCGCTGCAGCCACTGCCCGCTGAAGAGGCCGTGCTTGAAGGACGACAGCACAATCTGCAGCCAAGAGAAAGAAAAGGGGTTAAGATCCAACCCAAAACAACGTCACGGCAGCAGTAATGCTGGTGCTGGGATAAAAGGCAGCGTGTGGCAGCTCTGCGAGGAGCTTACGCTGCCTACCACAGCCCGATCTCTATTAGTCAAATTCCCCAGCTCCCCACCCCACCCACACACTTTTATTAAAGCTCCCAGCAACCTCCACAGGCCCCTCGCCACCAAGGATCCTGGGGTGTATTTTAAAAGATCTATGACATTCCCCCCCCCCATTGATGCCATCAGACATTATAGCACGCACCAGGGTGGGACAATTTCCACTGACACATTGAAGTGGGAGAATTATTGTTCCCAGCAACTTCTTTTGCACGTTTTTAAACACATTTTTAAATCCAAACGGGAAGCGACGTTTGCCTTGGAGAAGCCTGTTCAATGGAGAGAGACAAAGCTTCCTAGAACAGGCCCCCACCTGCACGCTGCTGCTCCAGAGCCATTTAACAACACCAGATCACCAAAGACAAGGATAAACTTCAGGAAAACAGGGGTTGCGAGGCACCCAGACGAGGCCAGGGGAGCTCTTTTGCCTTTGACAGGGAAACTGGCAGGCATTGGGTTGCACAGGAAACAGAAGGTAAATATGTCTGAATGCCTGTTTATAATATCGCCTGAATGGGGGTTTTCTAATCCCCAGAGATTATGTTTTAGTGCAGCCAACTCTCATGAAATGTTGTGGTTTTCTTAAAGGCACAGCTCCTGCAGCATGGCAGTTTTACAAAACACTCATTTACAGTTTCCAGCCTCCTTACAGAGGCAAGCTCAGAAGCGTGACCCAGCACAACCTACTAAAAAAAAAAAAAAAGTTAAGTGGAAAGAATTTCCACACCTCCCTTTTCTTCCTTTTGTTTCAGCTCTTCCAGTCCTGACATTTGGGAGGCAGGGCTGGGGCTCCACGAGCAAACCACACGAGCATCCGTGAGGTGAAACTTGAAGTCATTAAAAAGCAAGTGAAAGTCTCCACCTCTCAGTAAACGGTGCTATACAACGGGGCTTGGCCAAGCCAAACAGGGCCAGCTTTAGGTAACTCTCAGCTTACCCTACTTCATCTAAATGGTCCAGAATCCGTTCACCTCAGTAAAGAAACTTTTCTAGAAATATCTAAGAACGAGTACACGCCACGTAGCAGGCTTTACGAAGCTTTCAACGCTCAAAAATAGAAGTGCTGGTGTCTGACAAATAAAACTACTTGCAGCCTGAAAGACATTAACCATCAGCTGCAAAAAAGCATGCAAAGTACATGCTTGAGTTCTTAACGAGAACTGCCCTCCCCCTACAGATTAGAAGCATTGAGGTTTTCAAGGCAAAACACTAAGGCATGATGAAAGCCCTTCTGCTTCCAGGCACTCTTCCCCACATCTTCCATCCTTTGATTTCAAGTTCAGAGCCCTAAATTATAAGACGCCAACAAGCAAAATAAACCACAGCTCGATTTGTGGTTTATTATTATTTGTGCCACCACAGTCCCTAGCATTTGTAATGGCTTACAGACCCACTGGCCGGTTTCTACAGTCTGTACCTCCCCACCTCCACCGGCTCAAGAGCACGGGCACCCGGATCACTCATTAGTCCCGGCACTAATTATCAGGAAGCACATTTTAAACTTGAGGCCTGCACCTGCAGGCTGTCCCAGCGGGAACAGCTGTGTTAAAACAATAGGAAAACAGCATTCCCGGCGTCGATACTCACCACGAACATGAACACGGTGTAAAAGATCAGAGCCATGGCACTGAAGGACTGTATGGAGGCCATCATGTTCCTCTGGAGGCTCAATGGAAGTACAATGCACAGGGAGACGGCAAAGAGCAGGACTATCCGGAAACTGCCCGACACCTGGAAAAGGGACCTGCGTGAAGAACCGGAGCACGGAGGAGACTCAAAACATCCCACCAAATTAGCAAACACCGCTGTGGTGGACTTCTCCAGAGCGAGAAACAATGCAAAGCCAGGATTGATTTCGAACGTGAAATTCTGCTTCTGTACATATTTAAAGATTTGATGCTGAAAGCTTGCCGTTTCTTTGGCTAGGTCTGTGATTAGCTTATACAGTCACTGGGTGCCACTGTTGCTCTACACAGTACGTGACAGGTCCATCCTGAAGTGGAAGTTATTTGGGGAGGGGGGTTTAAATGCTATTCCAGCACAAGCTATTCAAGTATTTTCATGCAATTAAATAAAAACTCAACTTACTCAGGGAAACAAGAGATTGAAGTCTTGAAAATTCTGATCCAGAAAATTAATCAAAACCTCACATTGGTATTTATTATAGCAGAACACTCTGAAATGCTTGGAAATATTTAATACCTAATTTGGCTGCAGCCACAACGCATCTTTTTAACTTCACAGCCCCTTAATCGGAGCTTAGCAGCAGCAGGCGGAGCAGATAACAGCCCCGCCAAAAATCCTTCCACACGTCCATTTTGCTTCCCCGCACGGCCCTCGCGCCGGCTCCGAGTGCTGCTGCTCCCAGCTCTCCAGGAAAAGCAGCAAGAGCCGCCTGCCCCTGAGGAGCACCTCTCGCCGCCGCGCGTCTTAAGCCAACGCCGGGCTCATCACAGAGGTTATTTTATCTTAAAGAGGAGGCAGGCAGGCACGCAGTAACTTTGGCCACCAAAGCGGCAAGGGACAGGACAAAAATCCGTCTTGAACAGAAGGCTGCGAAGGGGTGAGAGCTCGGACAGAGGAACTGTCTGTCACTACCCGTTAAGGGCAGGAATTAAGACAGGAAGCATCATCTCCTCCAGGAATCTGCTCCAGAATTAACAGAGACCGAGTTAAAAAGAATTCCTTTGCTGGAAGTGCCTTATTGGAGGTTTTACACATCTGATTGTTCGCCATATGTCTGGGCTTCCAGGACTTCACGGAGCTAAACGCTCTGTGCACAAGGCGTGCCATTAAAGCTCACCACGAGGTGACCCCGCAACGCCTCGTGGGCTGCTGAGCACGCCACGAAGGCGGGACGCTCTTTGCTGTATCTAAGGCACACATGGCTCGATGCAAGAATTGGGATCACCGCCTGCATTGTGGATGTGATCCGGCAAGGATTTATTTACCTGAAGTCCAAGCAGCCGGGCAAAGAAGTTGGACCCCAAATCACCAATGACAACATAGAAAGCAATGCAAGTTCCCAGCATCAGCCCAATCATGCTGCAAAAACAACAAAATACACAGAGGTTAGGAAGCTGGAGCAGGAACCCTGGCACGCAGCTCCTGCTCCCGGGCAGGTGTGTTTCAGCAGCCACATTCCCAGCGGATTTGTACTCTGCACAGCCCTCGCAAGAGGACGAGGCTTTGCTAATGCTAAGGCTACCTCAGAGGCACCCGGAGACGCTGCCTGGGACCGCCCTAACTGAGCCTGCGGCAACGGGGTCCGCACCGACGACACATGAGCAGCGAGAACACCGCTACGTGCCCTGCATGGAGCAGGGCTACACTTCATACCCTGGAAGCAAAAGACATCCTACGTACGCTGCAGCTGCCAGCGAAGGATGAAAACAAAGGTTTAGCACCAACGAGGTCTCAAGGGCTACACCCTGCACACAACCGCAACAGCTGAAGATTGCTTAGGATCCTACTGCGCCCACCGTTTACCAAGGAACATCCAGGAGAGTTAAAGAGAAACAGCTAAAAGGGTGCACGTAAAGCGAGTTAAAACCTTGTGCAGCCACTTGCTTGTGTTCAGAGGTGGAACAGCCTCTGCGTGCCTTGCTTCAGCGTACATCCACCCTCTAACACAACTTTCTGGCCTTCTGTGGTGGAGACAAGCCCCAGATTTTGCTGAACCTGCACTGAAAAACACGTTTGGCAAGCAGTAATGAAGTAGGTTTTCTGTCTACGGGGATCCAGCAGGCTGCGAGCTCGCTCTCACAGCCGTATGAGCAGGCTGTGCATCGCTACTGGTGCTAGAGGGGAGGACCACGCTTTTACCCTCAGGCTTGTGAAGGGCAGGCCACCAGATCTGCATTCCACCCTAGTAAAATAAAAACCAGAGAACCTCCATCCACCTCGCATTCACACCTAACACCTTGGCTAGAGATACCATTCCGGTAACAACCCGTGCACGGGTTGAAGTGCTGGTTGGAACCACGGAAAAAACAGACCTTGGAGATGGCAAGAACTACTTTATTTCTCAGAAAAACGTTTAAAAGAATCAGCAAGAGGTTCTCTCAGCCCCACGCCCCGCAGCAGGGGCCTACCATGAAAGCCTCGACACCAAACCGGCTCTCAAACTTCTTTCCACAACATGGACCACACTTTAATGAAGAGATTGTCTTATGAACTGCTTCTCCTCCCATTCATGATTGCATGGACCACTTTCCCTCCCAGTTCCAATTATATAACATCCCTGTGGCAATTACAGCAATTGCTTGCACGGACAAGTAACATCTGAGAAATATTCTGTGTATTTTTAGTGTTCTGCAGCAGTTTGCAGCTGGGAGGAGGGAAGGAGCCAGCACCACTGACTGGCCTGAGCTCAAGACGCCTCCACCAAAGAATCTCCGCTGGAAAAAGCGGTGCTGTAACGACGTCCCAGCGCCCATCACGACTGCTGAACGAGACCTGCTGGGGAGCTTCTACTTGGATTGGGGTCATCCGAGGAACAGGAGCCTGCCCTGAAACGGAGATGGGATTTTCCCCACAAGGCATCTCCTAACGCCTGGCGTCTCGCAGAAGAAAGCGGCGCCCACTGCGAGGAGCGGGCAGGACCAGAGCAGCTAAAGGGTGGATCTGAGGTACTGAACACCCTCCCTCCCACTAACTCACAGCAAACTTGGCAGGGATTTCACCCCTGGAAAACATCCACAAGTGACATGCCCATGATTTCACAGCACACGCAGCAGAGCGGGAGATGAGTTCATTCCCCGACTTCTGTGCTCCCACTACCGCTCCTGCCTCCGCTCAGGAACGGGTGGGACACGCTGAAGGCGACACCTGCGAGCCGCGCCTGGGGGATCTCACTTACGCTCTTGTTCAAATCCGGGTGGCAAGGAAGACTTCTGGGACTGGAGAAGGCAGGAGGGTAAGAAACGAGAGCGCAGCAAGGCCGCAGGAGGCTACAGAGCGGTATTTTTCCTTAAAGAAAACTAAACTATTCAAGCTTTAAATAAGCAGCAGATTACCTTGTTTCCACCAACATTTTTCCTGCTTTTCCATAGGCGTGAAATGCTGGCATAAGAGGGGGGGGAAAAAAAAAAAAAGTTATAGTTAGTCAAATGAAGGTCCAGAACGAGGCACACACATGAGTTTGACATTAAACAATAGCAGCGATAAAGGGCAGTGCAGCAGGAACCCACCGGTGTTGTGTTTTGGGGCCGTTTCCCTTGCCCGCCCTCCCACTTTCTTTTTCAGACATGCCCTCCGCAAACTGAAAACCACATAAGACAGGAACAAAGATGAGGAAAAGATAGAAAGCAGGTTCTTTTTTTTTTTTTTAAATAGAGAAAAAAAAAAAGTGGTGTGAAGTAGCAGTCACACATGGCAACCATTAAAAGAAAGTCAGCGCGGAAGAGAAAATATGCATGTATAAGATGCTGTGTGGCAAAAAGTTACTGCAGTGCAAAATTTCAATCAAACTCTCATTTTTATTTTTATCTTCCCACTATAACTGAACCGCCTGACGCTGCTGGATGGGAGATCTGAGATGGTGCCCAGAACGTTCAATCCCATACCCAGAATACCCAGTACTCACAACCCACACCAAAGGGCTGCTGCCAACAGACTTTTTTCTTTTTTTTTTCCCCTCCCATACTTGGGTTGTAGCTCGTAGCAGAAAATGATCAGTAGTCTTTAAATCATTGTGTTTTTTCTTAAAAAGAAAATGCCAAGAAAACTCCGCTTGTATTTTTAGATCTTACTGGGTAGAATGGGAATTGAGACCTCCAGTTCCAAGCGCAAACCACATTGCCCGATTCTGTCAGTCTTTAAATGCAGAGGTCCAACATGAAAACCACCACCCTGGACTCCCCTTTGTCTTCTCTCAAGGTACAGCACACATTCCTGAAGGCCGCCAGAAAACAAACTTTATCCGCTTCTGGAAGCATCTTCTGCTATTTTAAATATTAACTTACAAAACTCTGATTTCTTTGGACTCTGCTTGAGCTAAAAATTAAGGAAACAAGATGTTCTCCCACAGAACGAGAATAAAGCATGGCAGGAGACCCACAGCAGAAAAATAAACCGGAGCTGTTATGTGGGGTAGCACCGAAAATAGCCGATGGCTCGGTGACAGAGCGGGTGGAACAGCCACCACCAGGCGCGCTGCCCGAGCGCGAAGAGCGGCCGCACCGCTCCGGCCTCCAGCCCTCACCTCGTTTGGGAACTCGCGATGGTAAGGGGGAAAAGGCAACAGCCCTTGGGGGGGTTCAGTCGCACAGCCAAAGAGCCAGTGGCGAGAGAGAGAGGAACCAGCGAGAGGAAGACATCCCTCCCGGAGACTGGGTCATTAACGAGCCGAGCTCCAGAAGGGCTGCTGCTGCTGCACTGCTCCTGCGAGCTCCTTTTTCACATCGCGCAGAAACGTAGGTGCCTCCAGATCACAGCTACAGCTGCCAGCGACAGCCTAGGCCAGAGATGCTGAGAAACAGTCAGTCCCCTTGGCTGTTCCAAAGTGATGTTCTAATGAGAGCCAGCCTTCAAACATTACGCCAGATGTCCCCATCTGGGGACACTGGAAAAATTGGATCTTTTATCTTCTCAAGGAGGAAGGAGGTGATGACTGTAAAATAAATTGTACAGTCGAGCATCCTCGGAACGGGATCTCTAGGTGCCTAACAAGCTGGGCAGAGCTGAATCCGCTCAGTAATTACAGAAGCCCTTTTAAACCAAGCGTGGTTACGAGAACGGGCAACCTGCATTTCAGCACTTTTCTCCGCAGGGAGCGGAGCGGAGCCGCCTCCTGGGGGTGCAGCGTGCTGCCGATGGGATCACTACGCAGTACAGGTAGTCTGCAAAGACCCAGGCCGCTTTCATCAGCTGAAAGGGGAGGCATTAGCCCGTCTCCTGGTTCAAGTCTGCCTGGGAACTGCATCCCGCTTCCCTTCTTGTCCACACATCCACCTAAGGCCCTTCCCTTCCGCGCAGCGCAGGAGAACAGCAGTGACGAGCACAGTATTTTTAATACCCAAGCCCTTCAGGCACAGAGCGCTGCCGAGCGAAGACGTCTGGGCTAGATATCAGGCTGTTACAACCCTGGCTCCTTTGTAGCTGTAACGATCGCTCTCAATGTTCCTCCGGAAGGGACTGGCTGGCTGAAGTTAATTTGCAAAACTTTCTTACATCTTTCAGCACTGCCAAAGCCTCCCACAGAATCAGCTGCAGGGGCTGCCAGGATCTCTCGCAGATGTACCAGGGCACAAGCCCACGGTGACAAAGGCTGTCTGTGTGGAGCCGCTCAACCTTGATCCATTAGGATGCGTTATAGGAGCACTGCCTTTCCTCTCAGGGCTGTCCCTCCCGGTGGCACCTCTCCCAGGGCAGAGACATTTCTTTCAGCGCCAGCGTTTGCGTGCCAGGAAGTTTAGAAGCATTACTGGCCCTCTGTGTATTTGGGCCCCTTGGCTTCAGAAAGCGCGGAGGATCCCTTCTTCCCGGGAGACGCTCCAAGGTGGAGGGGACTCTCTGTACTTCGGGGACGCGGCGCACAAAGACGTCTTGTAAGGGGGCAGGGAGAGGCAATGCAGGCAGCTGGGCTGGAGGTGGCGGGGCCAAATCGGGCGCTACCTGGGGGCTCCCCCTCCCCTCCAGCATCACAGGCACAGCCTCCGAGACCACAGAACTTCTTCGTCTTTTCTGTTTCTAGCAGATATAACCTGGCAGAAGCCAAGACATGCAGCCCGGCAGCAGCACCTCGGGTGCTCTGAGGATGGAGGAAACCCATCTGTCAGCAACATGGTCAGCGAGCGAGCCATGAGTTTCTTTAGCTCTTTTACCAACGGCGATGCCAGCTGACTCTGGGAAGCCGAGTAAAAGGCAACTTTTCCTGCAATTTCACATGCCAACGGAGAGGACTGGAACCCGACCACCTCCTCCTGCCCCCGAGTGGGTCAGAATGAGAAGAAGAGGTCACAAGCAGAGGCCAACCCTGGCGCCAGCGCAGAGGCGACGAGCTCCGTGGAAGAGGGCTGGCAGGCTCCGCCAAAAACCCACACATGAATCTTGCAGATGTTTTTATTTTCTTGGCCGCTTGGAACCTTGCACGCCATTTCCTCCCTGCTCTGCCATAAATGCGCAGGCAGCTCGGATCCAGGCAGCCCGAGCTCCATGCCAGGCTCTCCGCTGGCAGAACCCGATGTCCTCGGCAGCACACTGGGTGGGGAAGCTCGCGGCTTTCGTGCCGAGACCAATAATTTACACCAGACACCCACTACGCCAGCTCCCGAAAACTTGGGTTTTGATCAGTCAGCGCTGCATCTCCTCCCCCGCCCTGCAGAGTCAAAACAATTCTGCGCCTATTAACTTCCCCGTCAAGAGCAGAATTAAACCCCCGCGTTCCCCTGGGGACATGGGGCAGGGGGGAAGAGGAAAACAACGCAAATTGAAAACTACATCAAGAAGCCGTTTGCTATTCCAACAATATCAGTATGAAAGTTGTAAATTAAGAGGTCAAAGTAAAACCGCAGTTTAAAAAAAAAAAAAAAAAAGAAAAACCAACCAAGCCCTAGAGCTGAAAATTCTCACCAAGGCCGGGGTAGGTCCTGCGCTTGCTGAGATTGGCCGATTTCACCAGGAACATGCAGGATTGATGAGTCATCCAAGAACAGAAAATCAGCAGCAGAGCTCCCAGGACAATGCCGCACTGAAACGGGAGAAGAAGGGGGGAAGAGACAAGCGCAAGATGGAAAGTCAGTCATTCCACGGAGCCTTATTGCCGTCCCTCATCACCTTTAGGCTCCCTCGCATATTTCCAGCCACGCTTTTGCCCGTTAAGGGACTTCCCTCGATTTCAGAGCAGCCAGGAGAAACGTGACGTACGAGCTCAATTTCACTCTCGCCGCAGCCCAAGGACGACTCGGAGCAGCCACCTGTTTCCCACAGCTCCCAGCTGCACCAGTTGAAGCACCGAAGAGCGAACTGGGAGCCGTTTGTGGCGCAGAACTTCCACAGCTCCCCTGGTTCAGCCCCCAGCACTCTCAGCAGGTTCACACAGAGCCGAGAAAGACCACTCCTAACCCCCAAGGTGCAAACTCTGCTGTAAACTGATTTAAGAAGAACCATTTGGTGGTGTAAACTAATTCCCAAGTTCACTACCAGCGCTGTCCTGCCTTGCTGGTTCACACCATTGCAGCAGGGGATGTTAATCACTGGATGCTTTTTAAGCGGGTGACTTTAAACAGGCACAAGCGATGCCAGATCTTAATGGCAGCCGCCCTTTTTCCCCCCGCTGTATTTGAGCTTGGTGTGGCCGCAGGGGTGGCAGCAGCTCCTGGAGCGGGGCACAGCCTGGCACAACGTTTGCGAACGCCTCTGAGCCGACCTGTGTTTACCGTACAGATAAAGTCTTCCATTTTTTGCCTTTCTACTCACAAGAAAGGCAGAAACGGTTACCCAGAGACCTCAGAACAAGCGAAAACGTGTCATTTGGTACAAGAGACGTCCGAACTCCATCTTTAGCGCTTCCTTCGCTGACCATCCCCTACCACCAAACACCGAGCCACCTTCTGAATTAGGACCGGGGGCAGACGCGCTGGTGCAGTCTCCAGCTGCCCCCCTGCCCTCCTCTGCCCCGGCCCAAAGCCCCGCAGGCAGCTCCCG